GAATTATATAATATTTTTAAACGAAACTAGCTTTATCTTTTTTATAAAATAAGAGGCAAACGAGCAGACGGATAATCTGATGGTAAGCAATCAGCGCCGCCCACAGACACCCGCAACACCAGAGGAGTCACTGGTGCGTTGCCGGTTTATAAAGGAATACGCTCTTTTCTTGAAGGTCTAATGAGTAGTAAATACTTACTCAGGCTAAGAGAGTTAGGTTAGAGCTAAAATGTATCAAAATCGATTTAACAATTCAGGATGATAGCGAAACACACATACAAACTTGACTACCCATTTATTCTATTCAATGAATTACGTTTAAAATTGAATGTGAAGTTCTTGTAATTACTTAATGCAATGTTTATCGCTTTACTCGTTTTATCGAGATGTTTAAGAACTGTGGTCAGCAGATAAACTTACTCTTATTCATTGGATTTTCGACTGTTTGTGTATATAATAAAGTTGAAGAAGGAATACTACCTACTTAGTTGGAGCAGGTAGGTATGATTGTTAGAAAATATTGATATTAAAACGTCATTTACGGTGTATTCCGCTTGCAAAATGTACTGTTAAATATATTTTACGGTCGGAGCCACGGTGAACTTAACGGATTACCGGGGCTTCGGCTCGACGTGCAGGAGTAGCAACGGGGTGGTTTTTAGTCAGTAAGAGTCTGACACTCCCTCCGCCTCACCCGGGCGGGAGACGATTTTTCCCCCATAAAAAAAATATATTTTACGCTTGGAATCGATTTCACATTTTACGTTGAGAGCTGAGAGCCTCCGTTGTCTAAAAAATTTCTAACATTGTTATGAACAAAGACCTTAACAATCCTTACATTGTTATGAACAAAGATCCTAACAATCCTTACATTGTTATAAACAAAGCCCTATACATGTAAATTGCAATTAAAGCAATCCTGTGGCACTTACACGTGCAAGCATATTTACTGACTAGGGGATAATGCCCCACCACGGGCCATGTAGGATAAGATATACGTCTTAATTACTGTATAGAGTCACTTCAGACAAAGTTATTTAACTGCTAACACCTAGTTATTAACTGTTATTGTAAGTCAAAAGTTGTGAAGTACTTAGAAATTATTAGCAGCACTTGTTGTGTTATTTCCAAAAGGGACTCCCGGAGCGCCATATTCGTAACAGAACGCAAATTTAATTTTGACAAACAGCAAAAGATATATCCGAAATTATGTTCAAGCAACAGTATTTAAATTTTTTTATCTTTATTTGTTAAGTGGAACAGCAAACAGCTATTTTATAAAGAGTTAGATACGAACTGTAGTTTATCTACACAATTTAATTTTAGGTAATAATAATAATGTAACCCACAGCACTGTCCACAGGTTGCCATAAAATATAATAGAAACAAAAATTGATTAGGAAATCGCTAGAGATCTAGGTTGATCTATTAGTGTAGGTTTAAATATAAAAAGTACCTAAATAAATATAACGTAATCGAGTATAGTACGTTGTATAGATTTTGCTCTCCACTCAGTCCCCAAAACGCTCCCCAGGGTTGATACTGAAGGGATACGACGGCTATGGGGTGGGGGTGGGTTGGGGTAGTCTACCCTCACCGTATGGGGTGTATTCGACCCCACCACACCACCCTCTGTGAGTAGCACTAGAGTAGAATGCGGACCGAACCTAACTTGTTAAGTATTATTATTAACGTGACAGCAACGGTAGCAGTTTTTGGGATATTTTAATAAATAAGCGCGTTGCTTCGTTTGTCGATTTAGGGACGATTTTACAATCATTACTTACTTTTCAACTGTAGAATAAAATTGACATTCGAATTGATATGATCTCATCGTCATCTTCATTTAAACTAACTAATTAATAAAAAATAATAACTTAAAGGATTCCTTGGGTTTTTTTTTTCAATACATACATTTCGGTTAATCGCTGAGGACTTTTTTATTTTTATACTTTATGGGTCGACGTTTGACCACCATCTTGCCTGATGGTAAGCGCTTGATTCCCCTTAGTCCTTTCTATCATCGTACCACAACAAGACAATCGACAAAGCGTCACCGATTCATGGTAGATGTCCCATCCACTCGCACAAAGTGCTTCGCTTCAAGCTTCCTTGTACAAAGTGGTAAGGTGTGGAATTCTTTGCCACAGTCTGTTTCCTGAAGGGTATACCTACCTGGGTGTCTTCAAGGCCCGAGTGAATAGGTCGCTTGTGCACCATCATAGACCGCATCATCGCTTATCACCAGGCGAGATAGTGGTCAAACGTCGGTCCATTAAATATAAAAAAACAGTTATAAAAACGACATGGCACAATAACGTCAGTCGAAAACTTAGTAAAACTGTACTTTTTATAATAAGGGGCGCGATCTCTCTCTGGCACCCTTTGTTACGATTATTGTCCCTGTTTTTTTAAAGTTCCATCGCCAGGGGGTAAAACGGGATCCTATTTTTAGTAATGCGGGATGCTTGACCATCTGCGACGTCTGACTAACACGCCGTGCCCCTCGCAAAATGCACTGTGGATGTTTCATGTTTTTTTTTGTTTAAAATACATTGCTAGGATTTTTCCTAACATACAAATTCACATGATACACAGATACACTCACAGTACGTTGTGGTTCAGTGTTTAAACTTTGCTCCATGGTTTAAAGACAGACGAATATTATATCGATATCAGATTCGAACCAGTGCCTTTAGCCAAACGCCAATTTAGCGCTTGTCTACCGAGAGAGTAGAAAACTAAATGTATGGGGATGACACTGACAAGTGTCAAAATTTACGTCAATCCCATAAAATTTAGTTTTCTCTTCTACATGTAGACAAGCGCTATATGGCATTTGGCTACAGCTGCTGTAGTTTCGGAAGTTAGGATAGATTATCCTTACTAATATTATAGTGAGTTTGTTTGTTTGTTCCACTATCGCGCCGAACTACTAAACCGATTGCTTTGAATTTTTGCAGACGTGAAGTTAGAAGTCTGGATTAAATAATAGGGTACTTTTTATCCCGGAAAATTTGATATTCTCGAGGGAAAACGAAATTATTGGTATAGGCGCTGTGTGTATTGGTATATGTCACATAGGCTACTTTTTATCCTCTTGTGACGCGAGCGAAGCCGCGGGTAAAAGCTAGTATTATATATATAGTAGTATATATTAGCAACTAACAAAACAACAATTTACACAAATAAACAACTTAGGTAGTTTTATGAAGGTATTTATTTAAAACTTGTATATACCGATATTAAATACATAGAATTGTGCTTTCATAGTACAATAAGCGTAATAACAGCTGAGAGAATAAATATGTTTGATGCTCAAGTTACGTACGATTAATCCATATTCCAATTAAATCTACAAACATTTATTACCATAATACCATAACATAACATCACGCCTTTTATCTTCGAAGGGGTAGGCAGAGGTGCACATTATGGCACTTAATGGCCCTGTAAAACGTAACACCCACGTTTCACTATTTATGTTATGAGTCCTGTGTAAGGGTAAGCTTATTGCCATATACCGGGCACAATTGCCACCATTTTATAAGGTGTTTTTATTATTTTTACTAGCTTCTGCCCGCGACTTCGTACGCGCAATCCCATTTTCCCCCGTTCCTGTTCGTGATTTTCGGTAAAAAGTATCCTATGTCCGTCTCCTGGTTCTAGGCTACCTCCCTGCCAATTTTCATCTAAATCGATTGAGGCGTTCTTGAGTTATAAATAGTGTAACTAACACGACTTTCTTTTATATATATAGATTATAAGCAGAGGCCTACCCCTTCGAGAATAAAAAGGTGTAACATCACGCCATGTTATGTTATGTAAAGTTTTGTTCTCTCCATAAATCAACTTAAGATTTTAATAATTCAATTTTTATACATTTCACAACACAGTTGTACGATTAAATCACATCACAACCAGATTTTACCAATAAATCCACGATAACGAAATGCCATGAAATTTCTTATACAAAAGTAGTTACTAAACATCGAGTGGAGAGTGGTCACCGGCGACAGCGCGAAGATTTAAAATCACTGTAAATACCTCATGGCTAGGAGTACTGAGTACTAGAGATAAAAGTGGCTTATAGCTACGTGAAATAGGTCCAGTAGTTTCAGAGCTTATTACGTACAAACAAATAAATCTTTATTCTTTATTAGCTGCTGCCCATGACTTTGTCAATTTAGGACATAGCTTTTTTTTATTTCTAATTTCCAAAATAAAAGTACTTACTTATCTGCGTCAAATAGCATACTTATTTCCTTGAAATTAGCGAGATAAAATTCAAAAGTATGTAAATTGTCAAATCAATGGATGAGAGTATGATTATTTTTTAATTGTTTATTGCATTGAATAGTTGAAACATTTAATTTTAAACATGTTATAGGAAACTAGCCAATTGTGATTGTAGACGAACCTACGACTAAGAAGATAAACTTAGTGTTAGGTAACATTGTCGCGGAGAACCTAACGGGTAACCGGGGCTCCGGCTCGACGTGCAGGAGAAGGAACGGGGCGGTTTTTAGTCAGTAAGAGTCTGACACTCCCTCCCGCATCACCCAGGCGGGAGCAGTCATACGATGATTTCCCCCCCTTAAAAAATCCCCAAATTATGTTAGGTAACAATCTTTCTAATCCACTCGATTTCACCAGCCGCTCTCAAATTTTAAAGAACACTTGAGCTAAGATAGGTGTATCTTAACGACATTTGCAACCTATAAGTGACACCTAAGGTGTTAGTTTCGGAGCTCCTTCACGCTAAGCAACTGTCAAGTTAAGAGATAATTTGGGGATTTTTTTAAGGGGGGAAAATCATCGAATGACTGCTCCCGCCTGGCTGAGGCGGAAGGGAGTGTCAGACTCTTACTGACTAAAAACGACCCCGTTCCTTCTCCTGCACGTCGAGCCGGAGCCCCGGTAACCCGTTAGGTTCACCGCACCGCACCGCAATTTGGGGATAAACAGTAAAAACAGCCATGATCATGAAACGTTCGACACTACATATTAACACTCAAGCACTCTAAATAATTAGCTTCATATTCTTTATAGGTCTTCCCATCAATGGTTCTGTTTGCGGAGATGTATTTCTTCATGGAGTTCTCTGACCAGAGCTGAAGGTTCTCCTGTCCTAGGTCCAGGGTCTTGACCGTCTTCTGCAGCGCTACCAGGTTGTCGTTGAGACGTTTTTTAATTCTATCTATTGTGTTGGTCTCTTCTTCCGTTTCTGATGAGATATCTGCAAATTAATATTTGTAATGTCTGATTTTCAAGTACTATTTGTTTATGAACTAATATAACATTTAGCGTCAACAAAAAATGTTGAATAAAAATCATTTGAAAGAGCGATCGCAAGTATGACTACTGAACAACGTGCCGGGGATTCAAAGCCTGGATCGGGCGAAATATAATTCAGAATTTTGAAAAATTCTCAGTGAAGCAAAAATACTGGTATTTTCTCGGTATACGGCAGTATTGTAGCCCTTTTTATATGCAATCGTAGCATTGAGACTACCTCTAGTAACAAACTATGTTTAAAACAACCGACTTCAACCCCTTCTTTATTTTTAAGTCTTATTTAATATACTAAAACCTAAGTTTATCAAACACTTTTCATTCAGATCTGTAAAAGGATCAAAATTGGTTGGCTGAACCGAGAGAGATATCGCGAGTTTATCGCGCACAAACATAACATAAACACATACGGATTAAACTGAGATGAGAACCTCTTTTTTTTAAGACGGTTAACTTTATCTCTGATTATGGAAAATTTGATCACAGAAAAGTGGACATTTGGTCATGAATACAAAAGTAAGTGTGGGAGAGCCATGCTTCGGCACGAATGGGCCGGCTCAACCGGAGTGATACCACGGCCTCACAGAAAACCGACGTGAAGCAATGCTTGCGTTGTGTTTCATCGTGTGAGTGAGGTTACCGGAGGCCCAATTACCTTCCCCTTCCCCAATCTCCCCAATCCCTGAATCCCCAACGATCCTCAAACTCCTAATCCCCAAAAAGCCGGTGACGCACTTGTAACGCCTCTGGTGTTCCAGGTGTCCATGGGCGACGCCGATTGCTTACCATCAGGTGATCCGTCTGCTCGTTTACCGGCTTAAGCCATAAAAAAAAAGTAGTCTCTAAGAATCGGGTATAAGGTCTATAATGGAGTATGTAGAGGGTGGTCACCGGGGACTGGGCAGTTAAAAAAGAAGTAACGTTGAAAGTGACACTCTGTCTCTCTCTCTAGTTCTCTTTCTCTATGTTTGGAGATTCAAAAACAAAGTAATATTACAAAAATCACTTACCAATAGAAACATCCCGTCTCAAAGAATTATCGAGAACTTTCACCAACGCCTCCATTTCATTCTTCTTCTGCACTGTCAGTATGATCCTCTGTAGATTGCGTGACAGACTGACTGAGGGGCAGATGAGCGAACACGTGACGTCATCACGTTGCCAACTTGAATGTAGGCGGTCTAGTGATGACTGGAGCGTCTCAAATATCCATACTTTTTCGCCGCTGTAATGATAATATTTTATTAATATACAAACTAGCATTATTTTGGGTTTTTTGTGTATTTATGGCTAATGGCCGTTTGACCAAACCTTCATAAATTTTATAGAACCCAAGTGGCATTTAATGACATTTTTGATTTCACCAATTTAAAAGGGACACCTAATAAATTGGTGAGTAAAGTAAGTGTGGGAGAGCCATGCTTTGGCATGAATGGGCCGGCTCGACCGGAGTGATACCACGGCCTCACAGAAGACCGACGTGAAACAATGCTTGCGTTGTGTTTGTGAACAACTTAACGGGTCACCAGAGCTCCGGTTCAACGCAAGAGTAGGCACAGGATGGTATTTAGTCAGTAAGTGTCTGACACTCCTTCTCGCCTCACCTGGGGCAGGTGAAGGCGTTGGATGATTTTCCTCCCTTAAAAAAAATTCCTCAATTTAGAATAAGGTCTTATAATGTAGTTAATGGAGAGTGATCACCGGTGACCACTTGGGGATTGAGCAGTATTTACTTGGCGTTGGAAAAATGTCCCGTTAGTATTGTAAACTTACTTGTCCAGCACCAATTTTCTATTATTTTCAAGCTTGAACTTCTTCAAGTACACCTTCAGCTCATCAGTGAAAGTCGGGTTTGTATTTTCTGGAAAAGAAAATAACTATTTAGCAAACAGTTTTCTAGATCCCCTATAATTATGTTCTTAATAAATAAAGTAACATTGAATTTACTATCTCGTTCATTCATCATTGAATTTATTAGCCGGTAAACGAAAAACCTTATCAACTTTTGGTAAGCCATCGGCGTCCCCCATGGACACCTGGAACACCAGAGGCGTTACAAGTGCGTTACCGGCCTTGGCAATTCAGGGATTGGGGAGATTGGGGAAGGGGAGGTTAATTGGGCCTCCGGTAACCTCACTCACACGACGAAACACAATGCAAGCGTTGCTTTACGTCGGTTTTCTGTGAGGCCGAGGTATCACTCCGGTCGAGCCGGCCCATTCGTGCATTGGGGAGATTGGGGAAGGGACCCTCTGGATCATGGCTCTCTCACGCTTAAAAGCGCAATTAGCATCTCCTAAACAGATGAACATATTTCGATACAATTTTAAACAGTTATACATTGTTACCTGCGGCATCATATGAGCAGTTCTCCGAAGTATCAAGATCCATGCTTAAATTGACTTTATTCCTATTTCTGTCTCTCCTCTCTTCGTAAAAACGTCGTAATGTTGATATCGACTCTTGAGGTAGGGATAACTGACCTGGATAAGTAAATATTTTTATTTAAACCAAGTGGTAAGTAAGCTGATTGCATAGTTGTATCAAACGGGGTGTAGAATGCGGAGGGTGAACAGAAACTGGTAAATTTATCTAATATCTTCACATCTCTTCGGTACCTATTCACCCCCCTCTGCATCAATTCACCTCTATTCTGCATAATATATTCACCCCCTCTTTTGCATCTATTCATCCCTCTTCAGTACCTTTTCACCCCTCTTCTGCTTCTACTGACCCCCTCTTATATATCTATTCCCCCTCTTCCGCATCAATTCACCCGTATTCTGAGTCTATTCACCCCCTCTTCTATATCTATTCACAACCTTTTCTGCTTCACCCTCTCTACTGCACCTATTCACCCCTCTTCTGTGTCTATTCACACTTTTTTCTGCATCTATTCACCCCCTCTACTGTATCTATTCACCCTTAGAATTCTATTCACGATTGAGCTGTTTTGTGTACACGTTTAGTTTGCATGACTATGAATGCTGATGTTTGTTACTCTGACCTATCCCAAGACTTTCTTAACAAATTGGATCGAATGCTCAACAATTGTATCCACTTTATCTTCGGACTTCGTAAGTACGACCATGTCTCTTCCTTTCGCGCTCAGCTTAAATGGCTTCCTGTCCGTGAGAGGCGATCCCTTAGATCCCTCTGCATGCTCTTCTCTATTCTAAATGATCCTTGTGCTCCCGAATACCTAAAGTCTGGCTTTCAGATTTTGGGCAGCTCTCACAGCCGAAATCTCCGTTCAGCTGAAAGTTTGCTTCTAGAGATCCCGTCTCACCACACTTCCTTCGTTTCTAACTCCTTCAGAGTTAGTGTAATTAAATTAGGGAATGCACTACCCCATAGTATAAAAATGGCTCCAAACAAAATGGCTTTTAAACGTAGTGATCGTGAGGCCTACTTAAAGGCGCTACAACGCTGAGTTCGTGTCTTCATCAATTTATATTATATTATAATTATATATATGAAGTTATTTATGTACATATTTTGTGTTTATTATATATTTTTATACAGTATGTTATACAGTATTTATTATTACTATTAGTTATTTATATTATTTCTTTTGCATATTACACAAGCCCATTTTCGCTGAGCTTACTTTTAACCCAAAGGTTGACTGGGAGAAAATGCCATATGGCATTAAGTCCGCCTTATGTACCTTATTTTGTGTGCATTAAAGTGTAAATAAATAAATAAATGCTTAGCTGTTCATTGGCTGCCGAGCTTTTGGTCATCAGAGGACGCAATTAATGTAACGTTAATGTAGGCTTTTCCGTCTATCGCTGTAGATGTTATATGGGTTGTAAAAAAATTCCCAATAGTAGCATGGAGTCTGGAAATGTACCCGGTATATGGCAATAGGCTCACCCCCTATTACATGCCGGACATGCATGGACTAAGTGCCGTAATGTGAAGCTCTAAAGGGATAAAACGCGTGATATTATGTTAATTAATTTACTACGTACCTCCAAACCTGTCGCCCTGGTATGTGTCAGAGTGGAAGCTATTGAACACAGAAGTCAGACATTCCCTCACATTATTTATTTTGCGCTCTGTTACTGCTAGTGACGTAATCAGACGTTTTAATTCATCGCGTTTCGATTCCTGTGGAGGTTCGACAATGTTAGTGGATATTGAAACTTATTGGTGTAGTTGTAAGGTTCAGAATGAAATATAGGTTGTGAATAGGTGTTCCCGCGTGGTCCATCTACTGCTCGGCTTTTATTGCATTATATTTTATACTAGCTTTTACCCGCGGCTTCGCTCGAGTCACAAAAGAATAAAAAGTAGCCTATGTGACATATACCAATACACACAGCGCCATCTATACCAATACTTTTGTTTTTTCTCGGGAATATCAATTTTTCCGGGTTAAAAAGTACCCTATTATTTAATCCGGACTTCTAACTTTACGTCTGCAAAAATTCAAAGCAATCGGCTGAGTAGTTACGGCGTGAAGGTGGAACAAACAAACAAACTCACTTTCAGATTTATAATATTAGTAAGGATTCTAAGTCCTTCCTCGATAAATGGATTATCCAATGCAAAAAGTATGATTCAATTTGAATAAGTAGTTCCGGACAAAACAAAAGGTTTAGTTTTATAACATTAGTATACTTACAATAGCTTTATCAATAGCCAGTATATGCCTGGCGGCCTGTGTGTCGGGCGCGCCCCCGGCGGCGTGGAACAGCCCGGCGCGTGACGTCACGTCCTCATGCAGCGCGCGCAGGGCGTCCACCCGGGCCTGCGCGCGCGCACGCTCGCAGCGCACCACTAGCAGCTCACACGCCTCGCCTGACAGGTAGTCCTGGATATAACAAGTTTAAAAATATATAGTTAACAACATTTCACCAAATGTGAACCATGTTGCAATTTATTTTAACTCCTACACAATCACCTGAAATAAATTTCTAGAATTTGTTTAGACTGCCTCGTTGGCCGAGTGGTCGCAAGTGCGACTGCCGGGCGAGGGGTCTCGGGTTCAATTCCCGGGTCGGGCAAAGTATTACTGGGTTTTTAAAAAAAAATCTCAGTAGTAGCACGGAGTCTGGAAATGTGCCCGGTATATGGCAATAGGCTCACCCCCTATTACATGGGACTCATAACATAAATAGTGAAAAGTAGGTGTTACCTCTGTGTGCACCTCTGCCTACCCCTTCGGGGATAAAAGGCGTGATGTTATGTTATGTTTGTAATTTGTTTATACAAAAGTAGTCTCTAAACATCGGAAATAAGGTCTATAAATGTAGTTAGGGGAGTGGAGTCACCGGCGACTGCTTTTTTTATGGCATAAGCCGGTAAACGAGCAGATGGATCACCTGATGGTAAGCAATCGGCGTCACCCATGGACACTTGGAACACCAGAGGCGTTGCAAGTGCGTTACCGGCCTTTTGGGGATTAGGAGTTTAAGGATGGTTGGGGATTCGGGGATTGGAGAGATTGGGGAAGTAATTGGGTAATTGGGTCTCCGGTGACCTCACTCACACGACGAAACACAATGCAAGCGTTGTTTCACGTCAGTCTTCTGTGCACGGGAATTGAACAGTCAACTTATGATCAATATTGGGAGATGTTGATAAAACGCTTCCCTTTTAAACGTTTTGGCTGAATGGTTGTGACATTTCATTATGAATTTTCTAATAAGTATTTAAATGATAGACGTTAAGCCCTCTTTTACTGTAATTGAATTTAGATTTTAATTTCCCCGTATGCTAACCATATATATATAGAAACACCAACATATTTACAGGGAAATAGCACCCACGTGATGATGAAGCACAACGTACTTACATTAATCTGTGTGAGTGAGTCGGCTAGTTTCTTCTGCGTCCTCTTGGTGTGTACTTTGTTCTTCACGGAGTTGAGCGCTAGGGAGCAGTGCAGGGACGCCGTGTGGGACAGCACCCATTGAGGAGTTATCCTGGAATACCAACAGTTATTCATCATAGTAGGTGGTCCGAAGGTTTAAGACGCCCGCTTCTCATTCATGAACGAGGGAAAACGAAATCGAAACCTACAAACGACAAGTACCAATGTAACTTTTACCAAGTTACGAGTATATGTACTTTTTAAGATTTTAGACATCAGTGACAAACGGTGAAAGAAAACATCGTGAGGAAACCTGGGCTTATAATTTCTAATTATAGGTTTGAAATCGCATTGAGTATGAAGTTAAGAAGTATTTGTAACAACATTATCAACATTACGCCTTTTAGCCCGAAGGGATAGGCAGAGCTGCGTCACTTATGTATCACATCACTTACGGCCATTTTCCGTAACCAATCTATCTGTAGATTTGCTTACTGAGATATAATTTTGACACATTATGCAGCACGCAGACACACATAGAAAACCGTCATTCTTTTTGGGGGATTATTTAGCAAAATATCGTGTAGATATAATAACAGACAGAGACTATGGAATGCCAATACGGTAGTTGACAACTAGTCAAATTCAATACTTTTATCGAAACGTCAAAAACGATACTGTTCTATGAATTTTGTACGAAATACTAGCTTATGACGTCATCATATTTTCGCGTCAAATAGCACACTTATATCTGAAGAAAATGCAAGAATAAATCGAAAATTAAGTATATCGGCAAATTAATGAATGAAAGTGTAACTATTTTTCAATATTTAATTGGACTGAAAAATCAAAATAATTTATTTTTGACCCAGGCAACTACCCAATTGGTACGATTCCTACATACCTCTTTCGCTTCATCAACAATTTTTGTCTTTGTCTCTGCCTACCCCATGGGGGACCGGCGTGAAGTTATGTATGTGTGTATAAGACCAGTACCTGTTCCCGCCAGTAGTACGTTGGTCTGCGGTGGCGGCGAGGGCGGCAGTGAGCGCGGCGCGGCGCGAGCACAGCTGGGGCCACAGCGCGCCGCCACACCGCGCCACGGACGAGATCTGATCCTCTGGACACATACACACACACATTGTTAAGTGGGGTATTCGTTAAAAAAACACATTTGGGATTTTATCTAGCGGATGATTTCAAATATTACTTAAGAAACCGCTTCTTCACTGGAGGAACAATCTCTCCTGTCAAAGAACTCCCTCAAGACATCTGCTAAAGGCTTTTGAAGCCGATCGCAGGATACAGCTTATTTGTAAACATAAATTTTATATCTACAGTTGCTTAAATGGTTGACATACTGTGCAATACAGCGAGTCCGTGGGGTTCTTCAGTGGGGAGTGTATAGGTTTTTTAAGAGTTGGTAAGTGTACATAGGCCATGGTAACCGCTTAGCATCAGGTGAGCCGTGTACTTTTTTGTCACCGTAATGGTATAAAAAAATCTTACCAGAGTCATTCATATCTCCGCCATTAGACGTTATAGAGGAGCTAGCAAGCGGTGCGATACTGACAGACAGAGCCGGGGGACGTGGGGTCTGACGACGGCTCGTCAACTTGTCTAACTTGTTCTGAAATTAATAACATAAGTATTAGATGGGTATGTATGCTAAAGTGTAAATAAAATAAACAAACTTTTTTTTAATTTTACTTAAATAGTACAAGAACAATAAGAAAATATATGTACACCTTAAAATACACTAAAACTAATAGAGAAAATTAAATAATTAAAATAATAGTACACACTCAATTATTATGTTTTTCGGCTTACTCACGTAATTATTTATGATAATACAATTAAAGAATACAAATTAAGGAAAGTACCTAATTGTGGCCGGTACTGGCCAATAGGTAGGTTCACCTTGGGCGTCATAAGTCATAACAACAAACTTATGATATAAAGGTGACAAGATTTTAACACAATATTCTCTCAGAATAGCTCACCTCAATATCCGAACACTCTTCGAAGGTACACAGCGAGTCAGCAATGGTCCGAGCTTCATTCAAGCTGTCTCTCTTGGCGCGCAGCTCCTCGGCCAACTGCTGCAGCAGCCAGGCGCGGCGCTGCGCGGCCTGCACGCGGGTACGGGACAGGTTGCGGTGCGACACTGGATAAGGAGGGAAATACTTATTGATAAACATGGCTTATGTATCTGATAAATACGTTTGGTTACATCTTGTATACCTACCTACCTTTCAGTAATTAAGTGTTTATGTTACCCTTTAAAGCTTTCTAAATGACTGCCTCGTTGGCCGGGTGGTCGCAAGTGCGACTGCCGGGCAAGGGGTCTCGAACAAACTATTACAGGGTTTTTTAAAAAAATTCTCAGTCGTAGCACGGAGTCTGGCAATAGGCTCACTGCCTATTACTTGGGACTCAGTGGGTGTTACAGTGTACAGTGGCATTAAGTGCCGTAATGTGCACCTTTACCTACCCTTTCGGGGATAAAAAGGCGTGATGTTATGTTCAAAATATACTAACCTTTATTTTGAACATTGTATTTGTATATTGTCCTCTTAACAGACATTTTGATTTATTCATTAGTTCTCACTGCATCACCCTAAAGTTGGCTGGTAGATAAATAATGCTATCGGCATTAAGTCCATTGATTTAACTACTTTATCTACAGAGCAGTACTATTAGTAATGAACTTTCATATAAAGAACCTATAATGAAAAGTTTTAGACCAGTGATACCTTGTTAGTTAACAGTACGTTTTTTTTTCTATATGCCACCATTAACACTCAATGCCGTACAATTCCTAACTCTATGCCATTGCTGAGATCGAAAACGCCTATTTTTTATATCTATTGTAAGTGATAATACGGTCTACAATGGAGCACGTCGTCCCATAAGCGAGCTATACACTCGGGCCTTAAAGACACGTAGGAAAAATTCAGGAAATACAGACTCTGGCAAAGAATTCCACTCCTTAGCAGTACGCGCAAGAAAGCTTGTGAAATGAAGCGCTTCGTGCGTGTGGGTGGGACATCTACCGTGAACATTCCCCAATCCTTTCCTTAATACATTATCAACTACATAACTTTGTAATTAATTTGCACAGACTGCACGGTTGGCGCGGTGGTTGGGCAACTGGCTGCCGCGCAACGTGTCGCGGGTTCGATTCCCGCACGGAACAACTCTTTGTGTGATCCACAGATTGTTGTTCCGGGTCTGGGTGTCATGTTTATGTGATATTGTATGTTTGTAAACGCACCCACGATACAGGAGAAAATCATAGTGTGGGGCAATGTTTTTTTTTTAATACACCTAAGTTTGACAGTGTTCACAGCATTTCCTAACTAAACTAAACCTAAACTCTTTCTTGAATGCATTATAAACTTTACCACTCTATGATAAAGTCCAAAATTCCTCAAAAATACTTACATCTACTGGACACCTTATCAACGAGCTGGTTGAGCTCCTGCCTGGCTTGTTGCACCCTGGTCTCTGCATCTTGCACTCTCTCCCTCAATGTCGTCTGTTGTTTCCATAGAGTCAATTCTTCTGGCACTATTGTGCTAGAGTCAGGCTGGAAAATATGAAATTGGGATGATGACAGGGTATGAAAATTAAAAATCTAATTAGTCCGTAAGTTAGGTAATGAAAATTAGACACGTATTTTTTATGTTGTCGTATAATAAAACAATACTTAGATAAAACGAAACAAAGTTTAGGAGTGGGGGCTAAAACGTCATTTCAAAGTATAAAATGTACATAGAAGTGACGTCACGTGATATTTCAAATTAATATGTCGTGGAAAGTATTCGTTTCTGTAAGAAAATAAAAAATACGTGTGTAATGATTTAAAATAATCTACCAGACGGACTTAAAATAAAAATTAGGCATCTACCCTATGATTGAAATATTTACTTTTAGCGTGGTTTGTTTCGATTAGGACCTTACATATGTTTAATGATTGAACGGATTACTAAGCATTGAATAGTTAAAAAATATATTTATTTCTAATCAGCATACATCCACATAGATTAAAAGTTACTAACCCGTATATCCCCACTAACTCTCCACTAACTATATTATAGACCTTATTTCCAATGTTTAGAGACTACTTTTGTATGAACAAACTTAGGGGATGATTTTCATCAATTTTCATCGGGCTAACAATCAACACTATGTTATTTTATCTCTTAGATCAGGGGTTCCCAAATTTGTCTAGACTATGATCTATCTAAATCTAGTTCCCAAATCAGGACCCGTGTTTAGGGAATTAAACCATTACCAATATGTAAAACAAAATACAGAATGGTCAGTTAGTTCATCATTACATACTTGCGACGTACCAAAGGCTTGCGACCCATACTTTGGGAAACCCTATCTTCAATACCTATTAACTACAATAAGACTACATCTTACTAATATTATAAAAAAAGTCTGTGTGTGAGTTTGTGTATATATTTGTTTAACAATCACATCAGAATGGCTGAAGGGATCAACCTGAAATTTGGAATTTGGGAACAGAGGTAGTTAATCGTTTGGAATAACAGATATGTCTGAAGCTCACCTTAGAAAAAGCATTAGTTTTCCGACATCTCTGAACATCGTCATTGAAGACTTGCAACCTCTTCTGTCTAGTGACCTCCTTAGGCTCCACATGCTCCATCAAACTGCGCCACACCATGTAATACTGGCCACGGCACATTCTGGAATATTTATGATATACAATTTGTTTAAAATAACCCCAGGTTTGTTTGTAAAATGTGTTGTATTGTAAGTCTTTAAAGCCTCATCAACAGCCTTAAAGTGGCCACTGCTGACCTCTTCTTACACGGAGATGGCTTGAGCATTAATCAGCTCGCTTGCTCATTGCGGGTTCGCAATTTCAAACTGATAAAAAATAATTTATAAGTTTAGGTTTCCTTACGATGTTTTCCTTCACCATTTGTTGGTAGTATCATATTATTATAACTCAAAAAAGTCACATTGGTACTGGCTGTTTTGTTTGCTTATTGTGCTTTAAAGTCTAGTGATAGTAAATAGCAATGTTGTAGTTTGAGAACATTGTGTTTTGCTTCAAAATATAATATAAAAACAAAAACCACCAAAATCTTTGCAAAGATAATAAAATATTGTAAAATAACATTAATTTCAACAATAAATAGCAATTATTTATATAAAAAGCAGAAAAAGAAGAAAATGAATTTAGAAAAGTGTGCAAAAAGATTTTCCCGTACCGGGAATCGAACCCGAGCCTCCTGGGTGAAAGCCAGGTATCCTAGCCACTAGACCATACGGGATGTGACAGACAAGACGAATTTAGCGTTCTATTATTACATGGTTTACAAAATATTCTCACTATGAATATTTTACACGTAAGTGTGTGTTATGTGTAATAGGTATATTATTACACAATTCATCTTAGAATTCGGAAATAACAGTATTAGTAATTAACTCACTCAGAAAGTTTGTCAACAGTAGGCACTTTGTCCGGCGGGCAACCCATAGTTAGCAACCATTCTGCGAACTTCTGCGGTACTTTATCACTACTCAGCTTTTCTTCATTCATTTTAGATACAAAACGTTTTCTACAGTTTAAAAATGTATATTTCGCAAACAATAATAATCCGAATGCGACAAATAACAATCAACAGACGAAAATTCAAATTTGACAATGACATACGTCACTTTGAAATTTTATGGTGCTTAAATTCTCGTCTCATTGATTTATTCTTGAGAATTTTTACCATCATGATATTTGTCATGGTATTATTCGTTAATACGAAAAGTTTTAAGAATAATGATTTTGTTATTATTGATTTGATTGTTACTATTTGATTTTGAAAGAACACTTTTAGTCTAATTTTCTCGAAACAAGAGAATAGCAGCGGTAGTTTTTTCGGTCCATGACATTGTCACTGTCTTTTAATTACAGCAACGTCAATAAACGTCAAAGCAAACAATGTTGATATTCTTTTCTCAATAATATTTATATTTTATCTTTAAAATAATGCTAGGTAATCTCAAAGATTTTATTTCGGTCGTCCAAGATGGTTTAACATCGAACAACAACATACGGCAAACGCTACAAGAAGTTCAGAAAGTAAAAAATATTTTCAAAGACAAGCAAAAAGTCGCACACGAAAGCAAAGTTAATTATGGTGCTGGTGGTGCATTGCTGGACAAATATCAGGAAGAATGGGCTAAAATACACGAGAACGCCGATACAAATGCTAAAGCAGCTGATGAGGTAGACAAATTAATACTAGAGTTACACGACGAGGCAAAAAAGCGTTTACAAAGTGCGAATGAATTGGCACAGAATTTGTCTCTAATCCCTACGTTGACTGCTTCTGTGGCGGAGTGTATGGACAGCCTGAAGAATGTGCAAGGATTGTTGAAGACTGTGGAGGATGAACTAGTGGAATTCGAAGATATTGTGGAGAGAAGTAAGATGGAAAACTGGAAATTAGATCATCATTATCATCTGACTATGTACAAGGAGAAGAAGATGGGTATGTCGAGTATTCATACTTAGATGTACATTATTTAACAGTATTACACACTAAAAGACTGATAAAATTTTGAGTTGGCTTAAAGTTTTGTCAGTGTATTTCTCTTGACCTACTTACATACATTGTCATTAGATGAATTTCTGATAAGAATCTTAATCTTGTCACATATATAACATTCATATTATAGGTACTGTCAAGAATTTTTCTTGATAAAATGTGTGAGAATGCATGGATACAGACATAATATGTACATAATAATTGTGTAGGTATGTTTGTAGCTCGTTTACACAAACTACTGAATGGATTTAGATGAAACTTAAAGGACACAATATAGATTGTAGTTTGGAATAACAACTAGACACATTTATGATAGCAGTAGGAAAGTCTTATACATGTTTTGACCAAATATTTTATATGTAATAGATGGCATTTGGGTCCCATCTCAACAAGGTTTTGATACTACTTATCTATTCCAGCTGCCTTAGAAGAAGTCCGTAATAAACTGGCAAGGGAAAATAGTCAGCGGAACTCGGAGAGGGAGAGGCAGCAACTAGCAGAGCTGCAGGCGAGGAGAGAACAGAGCTCCAATGCATTCCAACAAGATGTCGCTAAGTACTTAGCTAGCGGAACTGTTACTATCAGTAAGTAACGTCTGGGCCAGGATGACCGGACCATAAGATTTTCTTTAATTTGAGCAATACCAAGGTTTAGTGTCAATTTTGTACTATTTGGTACCTGACATCAAATAATTACGAGGAAAGTGGCGAGCCATTCTGACATCAGAATGTCTGTTGTCAGAACGACAGAACCAATTGAATGTCAGAACCAATTGTTAACTGGCAAAAATTATTGAATGTCCAATGACTACTGAAATAGTTTTTGGTTATCATTTCACACAATTGCCTCCATTACACCCTGATCAAATCCATGAATAGACTTAAATAAAATTTTTGGGCATCAGCTTTGTCAAATTCTTAAAGAATTCTTTTTTTGATTAATTCTCTATTAATGTTTCCAGTTTGCATGTTTATTAGATAGGTACAGCAAGGTTCTTCTAATTCCAGGTCAGCCTTCAACACCAAAAATAACTTTAGAACAAATACAGTTAGATGATGACAACAGTGACCTGGAGAAATTCCTCGACAGTTGATGTGAACCACCTGCAGTGCTGGGACTATGGTACGGTGATATCAGAGCTTGTACAATTAAGACTAATGCATTCTATTTTATATTCCAAAGTTAATATAATATTTGTTAAATATTTTACTAATGTTTTTAATTTTTTTACACTGGCAACCCAATACATTTCAAATTTAGACGAGTAAGATGGTAAATTCGCTCTTATCACTATCAAATAACACCCTGAAGTTAGAACAATTCATATATAATTTATTTTTTTAGTTAAATACCTAAAGAATTTAATTTTTGTACTGTTAACCTTTTTCATGAACTGAAATTATTTTTCTTATTCAATAATAAAGTCAAAAATACAAAAATATATATACAAAGCATTTATGACTAGTAAAAATAAGCACATTGCTAAAACAGCTTTATCGGAACACGGTTCACGCCGGTCACGACATAGTTCGATACAGGTCTACGAGGGATCCCACAAAAACTCCATTCACAGTAATAATTATATCAAAAACTGACTCCGACCACTAAAAGTTGACGGCCGCATCATATAAAACAGTCAAAAATATATCAGTACGCCACACACGAAATGAATTTACTGCTTGGACAACCAGCACGGGGTGCGCTCCGTTAGTGACCGGCCACGAATGCCACAATTCACAATTTTCCACTGCTGTTCAACTGTCAGTGGCGGGAGTGGTGTAAACTATCAAAACTAGACGTAGCGTCGCGTGGCGGGCTGCAGGCTACGTCTTCCTCATGATGGGGTGCAGGTCGCCGCCGCCGTGCGCCGACATTTTCACCTTGCCCGCCACGTGATTCTTGATGCAGGGCCCGGCGTCCTTGATGGACACGCTGCCGTCCTCTATGTCCTCGTCCGACGAGAAATCGGACACGCACAGCGTGAGGTGCCGCTTCTTGGGAGGCACGACGTGCAACGTCCACCGCACGGGCCCCTTGTGATTGCCCTTCAAGTTCTCCCGTGCTTCGTAGTCGGTATCGGAGGCTGCGCGCTGTGACTCGCTTTTTAAACTCCGTAAGTTCTTACTTGGCCTATGGGTTTGTTCCTTTTTTTCCCCCCTCGGGGGGGTGTGGAAGTTTTTTAAATTCATTACACTGGACGTCTGGCCCTTGGAATTCAAGTCAGGAAAATTCTGAGAGTATATAACGACGCTGTCTACCGGTTTCTCCTTATGAAATTTTGCCGGCTGTTTACTTTTCGTGTCGCTTTCGGAGGGCGAGCTCGAAGCTCGCTTCTCCGCCGAGTTCCCGCTGCTGCAACTAGTGTTGCTGTTACTGGTACTGTATTGCTCAACAGCCTGCTTTTCTAATTCTCGAAACTTGGTGTCTATACTCTCATCTGACGCTTTGTACTGCTCTAAAGCTTCTTTCTCCAATTCCTCGAATTTATGATCGACTGTTGGCGGCCGCACTCGTGATCCAGGGAGTACCATTTTTGGATTCAATTTCAGGAGGCCAGGCGTCACCAATTTCTGCGCTAGTCTTACGACCGGAGTGAGTCCGATAGGCGCGGGCGCGCTCATGCTGAGCACTGTACTGTACAGGCGCTTCTTCCTCAATCCATTGTCTATGGCGGCTGCGCTGGTGGACGGTAGCTGGCCATCAGCCACGATTTTGTCTTGTGTATTTGGACTCTCTGGCTTATCACCTTGCGAGGTCTGCGGTTCAGTGACGGGAACCACAGCCTGTTCGTTGGTGCTGCTAGTGCTTTCCTTTTCATCGGGAAGTTCTTCTTTTTTGTCTTCTTCTGTGTCTGTCCGGGCGGGTGTCTTCTGCCCGGCCGGGGCGGGCGCTTGGTGCACGTGCGTGAGGTGGAACCTGTGGTCGAGGCGCGGGGAGGGATGGTCCCGCGGCCACCACACGCCGTAGCGTCGGTCCGGACAGCGCGCGGGCCGCTGGCCGGTGGGCGCGTACCGACTCACGTTGGTGCCGCGGTAGGGCGGACACCGCGCCGCCGACGCGCGCATCACTGCCTGCACACTCGCTGACAGCCGCCCCATGGCGCGCTGGCACTCCGTCAGCTGCGGAGGCCGCGGCGGATCGAACTGGAACTGAGAGCATCAGGTTAATTACAAAGAGCAATAAATGAAACGGGAAACGGTTATCAAGTCAGTTTTAAGCTTACTTTGCACGAAGGGTCGCAGAAGAGTTGTGCAGGTACGTCGAGACAGTACGCCGGTGGCGGTGGCGCGAGTGCCGTCAGCCGCCTCGGCTGGCGACGTCTCGCCCGCATCTTGCGCGACACTGCAGGGGGGCTGGGGGCGCGGGGCGCGTGGCTGGAATGCGCAGGGCCCCGAGGTGCCTGCGCGGGGGCCCACAGTGCCCGCACGCTGAGCACTCGGGCCGCCAGCGCCGCTTCTTCGCCTGCGGCTCGCGCCCCACTCGGGCCCCAGCGCTCGCTAGCTGCCGATCGGTGCCAATTAATTCCTCTGCTCGTAAAATTTTGATCAAACTTAGTTAGTCTCGCAACGGCTACCTTTCTGCGGTTCTAAAGTAAGTTACTAAGTTTCTAATTGGGTATAGACCAAGTCTACAGAACTACAATGCATCCTGGCCACAAATACCTGTTAAGTATACAGTAACTTCGTTAGGGAATTGGCTTAACTTTTTATTTAAGAACCCTATTTCTTAGACTATTCATTCAACTATAACTCTATAACCAAAAAGGGGTAACCGTAAAAGCGAACAGGGTATTGATAGACGCACAAATCCTCGTCGGGCAGCATCCTGTACTGTCGGCGCCGTCGCGGGAACATGCTGCGCTCAGCTGATTCGTCCACTAACTTGCGAAACCAGTACTCCACCTGGAATTTGGAAAATTATACTATATAACCACTTCTTGTTATTTGGGGGTACTTCTACTGGATAGCAGAACACATCAGGTGTCAGTTCAAATCATGAAGAACGAAACTCGATTAGGTTGTCAAGGTAACGTTACCTCAGGCAGCATCCAGCATTCCGTGAGGTCTGAATTCTCGCATCCTTGGCCGTTGTAGCCTCGCAAGTTAGTTCGTTCATTCGTACTTGTATAACATTTTTCTCTACAAACAGAAATTATTCGTTAAAATTCAAATAGATATTCCAAAGATTGACAGTTTCTGTCATTTTGACAATAAAAGGATTTTGCGCGAAAAGTAGATACGAGTAATGTCATTTCGATGTGGAGGCAAACCGGCACTATTTTGCATTTGCAGTTTATGCCTATAAAAACATTGGGTCACACAGTCTGCAGTGTCTTGACTGCGCGATCGGCTTCTACGCAATGTGTCGCAGATTTTGTTTTTATCCGATCTTTTTAATTAATTAAACACTTCGAACACTTCGAAGTACCAATCTACCCTGTATTATTTATTTATTTAATTAACAACTTAAGAAGATTAACAGCTAAAAACAGGAATTGCGTGTGAAACAGTCAGCCAATAACAAGCCTTCACTTATAAAAAAAGAAACTCAACATTACAAGAGAATGAGGTCAACACAGCACTTACCTACCACAAAATATCTGATTTTTTTTAATTATCAGTGTACATAGATTTTTTTATAATATTCATAAATGAATGTGAATAGGATACCTGACTTCGTCGTAATAGAAATTTCCATAGAATTGTGCCAATCTGGACTCTGGTATAACGTCTTTCACACTTCTTCTGCCACTACTGCTGCCATTTTCTTGGCTCTGGCTTGATATTGCACGTTTATTATCTACGAAATATTTTTATTTATTATTATACTTTTATGTAAAACTAGTTTCATATGGCAAGCTAGTGATCAGTTCTTAAGTGACTAACGGTCAGCCCCAATCGGTTTATTTGTATATGTCTTCAACCTGTCTATTTAGAGTATTGGAGCCTAGATCACATTCAATTTCTAGCAGTAAGATGGTAGCTCGCACAAGCCCGGAATGTTCCGTCTTTTTTACAGCCATGAGTGCGTAGGCCCTGACTGTGCGAGCAAGACAATGCGGGTTATAAGGCTAAAGATGCAGAGGCTACATCTATCACCACCCGTAATTCTCCGGAAAGAGTCCAAGAGCCGACAGTCTCAATTTTTATTTGTGAACGAACGTGTAAACGAGCAGACGGATGACCTGATGGTAAGCAATCGGTGTTGCCCATGGACACCCTAAACACTAGAGGTGTTAGAAGTACGTTACCGGTCTTTTGGGGTTTAGGAATTAGAGAATTATTGGGGATTGGGAAGATTGGGGAGGGGGGTAATTAGACCTTCGGTAACCTCACTCACACGACGAAACAAAACGCTGTAGTTGTTTAACGTCGGTTTTCAGTAAGCCCGTGATATCACCCCAGTCGAGCCGGCCCATTCGTGCCGAAACATGGTTCTCCCACAGTTTAAATTGACCGGGAATTAGGCAGTAGTGTTCTATAATACCCAAATGTGAACCTTTTAAAACTGCGCGATCTCAAACTTGTTAGATTATGCTAAACTCCTTGTGTAATGGAAACCCATAGTCCACTACTTGAACTGGGCAAAAAACTAATGTAACGTGCTGTTGATGACGATTATAGATCTCAGTGTACCATGTACTTAGAAATAAATACATCTTTATCTTTATCTTTATCTATAAAGGTTAATTCGTTTTATTGAAGTTTATGTCTAAAAATACGTTTATTTACATTAAAATATCCTGTAATGACGAGATAAATCACCGGCAGAATTGACCAAGTCTATGGTCATCGAATTTCTGAATATGTTGACTGGGGTCGTATTATTGTTGTGCCTAGTTGCATATGATCAGCACCTAGCAATATAGGTGATCAACTGAAGCAAACTTATGTGTCTGCGTTAGAAGAGTTAGAAGCCCTAAGTTCTTTATAAAACAAAGTTAGTGTAGGGATAATTTAATCTAAGACCTAAATTGCAAATTATTTTTTGAGTTATAATGTGAAGAAAAATTATTGAAAATGGCAGTAAATGGTTTCCAGAGTAAAACTGTCAGTCATTAGAAGAGTACGGTTGACTCCCACTGCATTTATCATCATCATATCAGCCGACTTGCAGATCGGCCGGTTGTGACCTGTATCCAGCGGTTCCCTGCTATCTTTATTAAGTCATTGTATATGTACTCTTCTTCAGAAACGGAGTAGGTGGTTCTTC